AACTACACACACACACACACACAACTACACACACACACACACAACTACAACACACACACACACACAGCTACAACACACACACACACACACAACTACAACACACATACACACACACATACACACACAACTACAACACACACACACACACACACACACACACACAACACACACATACACACACACACAACTACAACACACACACACACACACACAACTACAACACACACACACACATACACACAACACACACACCTACACAACACACACACACACACACACAACTACAACACACACACACACACACACAACACAACACACACACACACATACACACATACACACACACACACACAACACACACACACACACACACACACACAACACACACACATACACACACACAACACACACACATACACACACACACACACACACACACACACACACACACACACACACACACACACACACACACTACAACACTGCTGTTTCACATTTGTTTGTGTTGGTTTTGTTCTTCTGCCCTGGAGCTGCACCGTTTGATTCTGGACTGTGTTCATTAATTTAGAAATGTTTTTGTTGTTTTATCCACCGCCTGTTTTTTTTAATTTTTTTATAGAATAAATAATTCAAAACTGTTCTTGCTCTTTTAGTCTTTTAATACATTTTATTACATCTTTTAAAGTCACGTCTCTGTTCTTTATTTACAAACTCACCTGTGGCCCTGAGTGTTTTATATTTTACTTTAGGATCTTAGACGTTATTTATTGAAAAAGTCACACACAGACCTGGTTTAGTCCTGGTTTAGACCTGGTTTAGTCCTGGTTTAGTTCTGGTTTAGTCCTGGTTTAGTCCTGGTTCAGTCGCAGTTTAATCCTGGTTTAGTTCTGGTTTAGTCTTGGTTTAGTCCTGGTTTAGTTCTGGTTTAGTCCTGGTTTAGTTCTGGTTTAGTCCTGGTTTAGTCCTAATTTAATCCTGGTTCAGTCACAGTTTAGTCCTGGTTTAGTCCTGGTTTAGTTCTGGTTTAGTCCTGGTTTAGTCCTGGTTTAGACCTGGTTTAGACCAAATTTTAGTCCTGGTTTAGACCTGGTTTAGTCCTGGTTTAGTTCTGGTTTAGTCCTGGTTTAGTCCTGGTTTAGTCCTAGTTTAATCCTGGTTCAGTCGCAGTTTAGTCCTGGTTTAATCCTGGTTTAGTCCTGGTTTAGTTCTGGTTTAGTCCTGGTTTAGACCTGGTTTAGACCTGGTTCAGTCCTAGTTGAGTCTTGATTTAGTCCTGGTGTAGTCCTGGTTCAGTCTTGATTTAGTCCCCGGTTCAGTCCTGGTTTAGTCCTGGTTTAGTCCTGGTTTGGTTCAGCTTGGCCTTGCCGCTTCAAGTCCTGGTCTCCATGGAGACACATAAATTTAATAAAGCCGTAATGAGGAATAATCCAGATAAAACAATAACATCTCCATGGAGACCAGCAGGGGGCAGCAGGGGGCAGACTCAGAGGCAGAAAAGTTCCACCCTGCAGCTTTCCCCTGGTGCTGACGCAGACTCGGTGCTCGTGGCGTCTGCCGTCTGCCGCTCGCCGATCTGCTCTGAGAGGATTAAAACTCGTCTCTGTTTTCCGTCGTTTTGTCCGAGTGTGTGGAAACCCGTCCGTCCGTAAAGCTCGTCTCATCTCGTCTCCTCTGACGTGTCCACAAATCCTGAATCCTGCCCAGATGGACCTCGAGGGACTTAAGAGCCAAAGAAAACCACAAGACGACTTTGTTTTGGCAAATAAATCTCTTTTATTTCACCGTCCACATGAGCCGCGGCCGGAGCTCTGTGGGCGGAGCTCTGTGGGCCTGTGGGCGGAGCTCTGTGGGGGCGGGCACAGGGGGCGTGGTATTTGTGGTATTTACAAGTTTAAACGGGGACAGAGACATTCACTTTAATAAATAATATACATAAATAATATTCATAAATATATTTTCTAACATTTGAACATTTAACGAAACGTCTCAAAGCCAAACTCACGCAGCACACGACCACAACGAAACAAACCGCGACGCGACGAAACAAACCGCGACCCGACGAAACAAACCGCGACCGACGAAACAAACCGCGACCCGACGAAACAAACCGCGACAAACCGACGAAACAAACGAACCGACGAAAAAACCGCGACCCGACGAAACAAACCGCGACCCGACGAAACAAACCGCGACCCGACGAACAAACGAACCGCGACCCGACGAAACAAAAACCGCGACCCGACGAAACAAACCGCGACCCGACGAAACAAACCGCGACCCGACGAAACAAACCGCGACCCGACGAAACAAACCGCGACCCGACGAAACAAACCGTAACCCGACGAAACAAACCGCGACCCGACGAAACAAACCGCGACGCGACGAAACGAAAACCGCGCCGACGAAACAAACCGCGACCCGACGAAAAAAACCGCGACCCGACGAAACAACAAACCCGCCGAAAACAAACCCGACCCGACGAAACAAACCGCGACCGACGAAAACAAACCGCAACCGACGAAACAAACAAACCGCGACCCGACGAAACAAACCGTAACCCGACGAAACAAACCGCGACCGACGAAACAAAACCGCGACGAAACCGACGAAACCCCGAAACAAACCGCGACCCGACGAAACAAACCGACGAAACCCGACGAAACAAACCGTAACCCGACGAAACAAACCGCGACCCGACAAAACAAACCGCGACTCAACAAAACAAACCGCGACCCGACAAAACAAACCGAACCGACGAAACAAACCGCGACCCGACAAAACAAACCGCGACCCGACAAAACAAACCGCGACTCAACAAAACAAACCGCGACCCGACGAAACAAACTGCGACCAAAACGGACGAGCACATCCAGACTAAGGGGAGGATCGCAGGGCGTGAAAGGAGGAATACAAAAATATTTGTTCATAATTTTTGGTGCAAATGTGAAAACAGCTTCATGCCGTTGCATAGACACAGAAACGTTATGTTTCCTTCTGCAGTGACTCGGGCTCCTCTTCTGTCCCACAAACACTGAGAGAATTAAAATGTTTAAATGTGTTAAAGAAACTTCACATTTTTAAATAATGAGACACAGACACAGAGCTGCTCTTTCCTCTGTTAAAACAGCTGATCTGAGGAGGACACAAGACGACAGAACAGAGAAGAACAGCAAAGGATTGTGGGTCATATGAAAACAGTTCAGTTTGTTGCCAGAGAAAAGTTTGTGCAGATTCTGCTCAGAGACACAACAACAAGTTTAGACTCTGTCAGCGCCTCCACCGCAGGGACAGGTCCGTCTGCCAAGACAGGAGCAGGTCAGAGGTCAGGACAGGAGCGGGTCGGAGGTCAGGACAGGAGCGGGTCGGAGGTCAGGACGGGGGCGGGTCGGAGGTCAGGACAGGGGCGGGTCGGAGGTCAGGACAGGGGCGGGTCGGAGGTCAGGACAGGGGCGGGTCGGAGGTCAGAAAGCAGATTCACAAATCGTACTATGGCCATGCCAAAGTTCACTGAACTCTGCTTCTGATTGTTTTAACTTCAAACTTCATCAGGAGCTGATGATGAAGTTTGAATGGGATGAAACACTCAGTAAATGCAGGTTTATATTATTTATTACATTAGAGGCTCTGTTATTCTTTGTTATTGTTCTTGATGCATTTGCCTCTGCTCCTCGACTGCACTTCACATGCTTGTGTTTGATCAACAGTTTTATTGTTGAACTCTCGTGGAGACTTACAACAGGCCTATAACAGGCCGACATTATTGACATTTGATCACTGCGTCTGTTGTTCATTAAAACTTCAGTGTTGATAATTGGTCGGATGATTCTGTTTAGTTCTGTTCAGTCGACACATTATATTATTTATTTTCACATCTAAAACCAGTTTGTTGCCAATAACTGTTTTCCTGTCGTAGGTCAGGTGAGGCCGACCTAGAACACACTTCAGTGTGTCATGTGACCATCACGTCACATGACACATCAGGTCATCAATATGTGACATGAGAAAAAAGGTTCATGTGATGGTTCCTGTTGTCACTGATGAACAGTGGAACTGTGCAGCTAAAAACATGAACCTGTTACTCTTCACTTCAGATCATGTTTCAGTCGAGCCTGAAGCTCAACCAATCAGAAGCAGAGTTCAGTGAGCTTTGGCATGGCCATAGGACAGGGGCAGGACAGGGGCAGGTGACAGGACAGGGGCAGGTGACAGGACAGGGGCAGGACAGGGGCAGGTGACAGGACAGGGGCAGGTGACAGGACAGGGGCAGGTGGCAGGACAGGGGCAGGTGACAGGACAGGGCAGGGACAGGGGCAGGTGACAGGACAGGGGCAGGTGACAGGACAGGGGCAGGTGACAGGACAGGGGCAGGTGACAGGAGTTGGATTTGGTCCACAGACTGAATATAAACGAGGACTGAGTGCAACATCACCTACAGAGTTCAGCTTCAGCCAAATGAAGCTAATCGAGTCCAGCAGTTACAGCAGATAATTTAGAGCCGAGTTCCATTTTGTAATTTCAGTTCCAAACCCAGGATCATGTCGAGACGATGAACACGAACAATTTAGACCAAAACAATGAGTCTGACGGCAACAGGTGCAGAGAGAGGAGCCACGGATTTTCAATAGAAAGTTAACTGGAACCAGAGCCGTGATCACTTCCTGTGAGGAACATCAGGAGGGCGTGTCTCCGGGGTCACGTGGCGAGGGGGCGTGTCTCCAGGGTCAGGGCAGGTCACATGACGAGAGGGCGTGTCTCCAGGGTCACGTGGCGAGGGGGCGTGTCTCCGGGGTCACGTGGCGAGGGGCGTGTCTCCGGGGTCACGTGACGAGAGGGCGTGTCTCCGGGGTCACGTGGCGAGGGGGCGTGTCTCCGGGGTCAGGGCAGGTCACATGACGAGAGGGCGTGTCTCCGGGGTCACGTGGCGAGGGGCGTGTCTCCGGGGTCACGTGGCGAGGGGGCGTGTCTCCGGGGTCACGTGGCGAGGGGGCGTGTCTCCGGGGTCAGGGCAGGTCACATGACGAGAGGGCGTGTCTCCGGTCATACGCCGTGTCGTCGCTCTCCTCGCCGTCGCTCAGGTCCAACACTCTGATGTCGCGGTCGTCGTCGTCCTCCGTCTCGCTCTCTCGCCGCAGACGCTCGCGCTCTCGGTCACGCTCTATTGCTCTGAAGGAACGCGGCCGCGGCAGAATCTGAGGAACACACCGAGAACAAATCAGAGAATGTGGCGACAGGCTGGGGGTGTTCTACATGTGTCTCTGTGGTGGAATGTTTAGCAGTTACCGTGGAGACACAATGCACGTATAAATGAATGCAGAAAGGTGCTATAGACCTGGTAAAGGTGCTGTAGGCCCGATAAAGGTGCTACTATAGGTTCGGTAAAGGTGCTATAAGTCAGGTAAAGGTGTTACTATAGATCTGGTAAAGGTTTACATTGGTAAAGGTGCTATAGGTTCAGTAAAGGTGCAATGGTATAGGCCTGGTAAAAGTGCTATAGGATCGGTAAAGGTGCTATAAGCCCGGTAAAGGCACTGTAGGTCCGGTAAAGGTGCTATAGGCCCAATAAAGTTGTTATAGGCCCTGTAAAGGTGCTACTATATGTCCAGTAAAGGTGCAATAGGCCCAGTAAAGGAATTATAGGTCTGGTAAAGGTGCAACTGTATAGGCCTGGTAAAGGTGCTACTATAAGCCCAGCAAAGGTGCTATAAACCCGGTAAAAGTATAGTATACTATAAGATTGGTAAAGGTGCTATAGACCCAGTAAAGGTGCTATAAGTCTGGTAAAGGTGCTATAGACCCAATAAAGTTGTTATAGGCCTAGTAAAGGTGCAACAGTATAGGCCTATAAGCCCGGTAAGTGTTATAAAATCGGTAAAGGTGCAATAAGTCCGATAAAGGTGCTACTATAGGTCCAGTAAAAGTGGTATAGGTCCAGTAAAAGTGCTTTAGGCCTGTTAAAGGTTTCCATTGATAAAAGTTGAGGTACCTGGTTGTCGCAGCTGGGCAGGGCGCAGTACCCGGCCTCGGCTCGCCGGAGGAGGTGGGGGGAGTGGGTGCGGAACGGCCGGGGGGAGTGTGAGCAGAGGGAGCGGGGGGAGGGTGAGCGTATGGAGCGAGGGGACGGCGAGCGGACGGAGCAGCAGGCGGGCGAGTACGTGGCCGAGTGCTGCGACAGCGTGTGGTGGTTGAGTTTGGGCGGGCGGGGGGAGCGGGGCGGCAGCTCGGGCGGGCGCACAGGGTCCACCAGCTCCAGCTCGGTGAGGACGGGGGGAGGGGGCACGAAGTCTAGCTCGTCCCCCTCTGCGGGCGCCTCCGCCGGCGTCTCCACCGCCGGCGCCGTCAGCTGCAGCTCAGCGGCGTCGAGTTCCGCCAGCTCCGCCTTCGACAGGTGGTCCACGATCCCGGCGCCGAACGAGTCGCCCACCACGTTTATGGACGTGCGCATCCTGTCACTGAGGTCAGAGGTCAGAGGTCAGAGGGCAGCATGTGGAAGGAGAAGTGCACAGATGAATCACACTCCAAAACTCAACAAGGTTTAATATGAAAAACACTTTATCAGTTTTACTTTACAGAATAAAACTTTTTCACAACAACAGAAAGTGCCACGATGTCGGTAAACGTCACTTCCAGTTAATGTTTTTCTGTGTAAAAATGTGTGTGTAAATGTGTCGTATTCTCCAGCAGATTCATGAACAATTTATCCACAACTATCAAGAGAAGAAAGAGCAAAACTTAAGGTTCTGTTCACACGAGAACACGTGCAGGTAAAAACAACAAAATGATTTATCATCATATTTTATGTTTAGACGGTGACGGTGTTTTTGTTCCTTAAAAACGCAAAAATCTGAAACCACCAAAAGTTGAATAAACTCCACTTTCCGTCTACACTGCCCAAGACGCAAAACTCTGGTCAGATGTGCTTTACATCACAAACAAACAGGACACAGAAACCTGGCATGAACACAATCGAATTCCACACACTTTTGCGTCACCGTATGCAAGCAAATTTCCTCCCGAAAACACTTGTCTAAACGCAGAATAAAAAGTAAAGTGTATGTAATTTCCCTTGTGGATCAATAGTCTAAGTCTAAACTCACAGCGGCCTGGTCCTCCCTCACATCGACCAGACATGTGTTACTCACAGGAGCCAGTCGACGGCGATGAGGAGGCTGATGTCCTGCGTGGGCAGACCCACGGCGGTCAGGATCAGTGAGACATGAGACGTGAGACACAGAGACCGAGCAGGTGAGACAGGTGAGACAGGTGAGACAGGTGAGACAGGTGAGACAGGTGAGACAGGTGAGACGGTGAGGCAGGTGAGACAGGTGAGCAGGTGAGACAGGTGAGACAGGTTGAGACAGGTGAGACAGGTGAGACAGGTGAGACAGGTGAGACAGGTGAGACAGACAGACAGGTGAGACAGGTGAGACAGGTGACATGAGACAGACAGGTGAGACAGGTGAGGACAGTGAGACAGGTGAGACAGGTGAGGCAGGTGAGACAGGTGAGACAGGTGAGACAGGTGAGACAGGTGAGACAGGTGAGACAGGTGAGAGGTGAGAGACAGGTGAGGCAGGCAGGTGAGAGGCAGGTGAGACAGGTGAGACAGGTGAGACAGGTGAGGCAGACAGTGAGGTGACAGGTGAGAGAGGCAGGTGAGAGGCAGGTGAGACAGGTGAGGCAGAGAGCAGGTGAGGCAGGTGAGACAGGTGAGGACAGGTGAGACAGGTGAGACAGGTGAGAGCAGGTGAGACAGGTGAGACAGGTGAGACAGGTGAGGCAGGTGAGACAGGTGAGACAGGTGAGACAGGTGAGACAGGTGAGACAGGTGAGACAGGTGAGGCAGGTGAGGCTATGAGGAGGGAAGAGCATCACAACTAATTCTATCTCCTCCACACGAGCTTCAGTTTGTAAAGGGTCAAACTGCTGCAGGACACTGAACTTTCGTCTGTCACCATAAGAGACACTTACAGCCGCAAGCATCAATGAACAGGGTTCAACCTCTTTTTCACTGAAGAAAATTCTAAACTTTTCCATGACTTTTCCAGACCAGGAAAATGACTTTTTCAATTTCCATGACTTTTCCAGGATTTCCCTGACCTTGGGAACCCTGAATGAAAGGTCTTCAACCCCTTTAAACCTGCTGTTTGGTCGTGTACATTTGTTCAGACTTTCATCAGCGCCAGAAAGGCTTTAAAATAATTAATTTAGATTTGAAACAATTAAATGACATATTCCATGTCTCAAAACATGTGGACAGATGCAGCGTCTGAAGTGACACAGTCGCTCTGTCTGCCGCTGCTCCTCCACGTGGAGAGGAGCGTCTGAGGGGAGGACGTCTGTTCTGATGCCTCCTGGACGTGTCCCTCAGGAGGTGTTCATGTCCCACCAGGAGGAGACCCTGAGGAAGACCCAGGACACACTGGAGGGACGATGTCTCTGGACTGGACTGGGAACACCTCAGGTCCCTCCTGGAGGAGCTGGAGGAAGTGTCTGGGGTGAAGGAAGTCTGAGAGTCTCTACTTAGACTGATGTAATTTTTCACAATAAAGACTTAAAGAGGAATAAAGAGGAAACTCAATTTTGATGAACTTTAAAAACAATATAAACACTTGGTGGATTATCACCTCATGACATCACTCGGTGGAACCAGGTGTTCTCAAGAGGTTTTTATGCAGGAGACTGAAACAAAAGAGCCTGAGTGTGTGGACGTCTGCTGCTTCCTCTCGTGGATGTCGTTTCCTCTCGTTTGAACCGTTTGAGTCTCTGGTTTGTTTCATGTTCTGTGTGGAATGCTGTTTGTGTGACGGCCACAATAACACACAGATGTCCCAGACTGTGGCTTTAAACGATCTTAAAACACTAATGAAAACACGACAGTACGGAGCCCTAAGTGGGACATTATTGAGATTAACACGTTACACATGGAAAACACAGACATCAGCGGCGGAGATGATTCAACCAAACGACATTTCAAAGTTGGAGTTCGGTAAACATCCCGGAGCGACGAGAAACCGCGAGAGCCAAACCCGAGCCAAACCCGGGCCAAAAACACGGCTTCAATTAAAACAAAACCACAAAACGATGAAGCGACGTTCTGATCTCTGCCCGCGATTTACTGTTGTCAGGAGACGACAACGAAACGCAAACCGAACAGCTCCCCCGGGGGTCTGGGGGAGTACAGCAACACACAACAACAACTGTGAGGTCACTCCGAGCCGAAACTGGGTCAAATGCAACGATCACAATGTCAGACAATCACAGTCCTGGAGCTTTACGGTGGAAAAAAAACACTTTATTAACGCCTCAGGAGGGAAATTCATTCTCTGCATTTGACCCATCCTTAAGTGTTTTTGGGTTAGACCTGAATTTGATCCATCCCTCAATATTTAAACCTGCATTTGACCCACCCTTCAGTATTTAAACCTGCACTGACCCATTCTTCTGTATTTAAACCTGCATTTGACCCATCCTTCAGTGTCTCAGGGATAAAACTGCATTAGGCCCATTATTCAGTGTCTCAGTTAAATCTGCACTTGACCCATCCTGCAGTATCTCTGGGTTAGACCTGCATTTGATCCATCTGTCAATATTTAAACCTGTATTTGACCCATCCCACAACATTTGAACCTGCATTTGACCCATCCTTCAGTATTTAAACCTGCATTTGACCAATCCTTCTGTTTTTAAACCTGCATTTGATCCATATCTTGATATTTAAACCTGCATTTGACCCATTCTTCTGTATCTAAACCTGCGTTTGATCCAACCTTCAGTATTTAAGCCTGCATTTGACCCATCCTTCAGTGTCTCAGGGATAAAACTGCATTATGCCCATTATTCAGTGTTTCGGTTAAATCTGCACTTGACCCATCCCTCAGTATCTCTAGGTTAGACCTGCATTTGACCCATTCCTAATTGTCTTTACATTAAACATGCATTTGACCCATCCTTCAGTATCTCTGGGTCAAACCTGCATTTGACCCATCCTTCAGTATTTAAACCTGCATTTGACCCATCTTTCACTGTCTCAGCTCAACTGCATTATGCCCATTATTCAGTGTCTCGGTTAAATCTGCACTTGACCCGTCCTCCAGTGTCTCTCGGTTACACCTACATTTGACCCATCCCTCAATATTTAAACCTGCATTTGATCTGTCCTTCAGTATTTAAACCTACATTTGACCCATTCTTCTATATTTAAACCTACATTTGACCCATCCTTCACTAGTTAAATCTGCATTTGACCCATCCTTCAGTATTTAACCCTGCAGAAGACAATTAAGCTCAAAACAGGTCAAACGAAACAGATTTAAAGCTACAACTGTAATTAGTAGGGTCCAGGTGAGGAGGGGAGGGGACAGGTGAGAAGGGGGAGGGGAAAGGTGAGAAGGGGAGGGGACAGTTGAGGAGGGGGAGGGGACAGGTGAGAAGGGGAGGGGAAGGTGAGGAGGGGAGGGGACAGGGTGAGGAGGGGGAGGGGACAGTTGAGGGAGGGGGAGGGGACAGTTGAGGAGGGGAGGGGACAGGTGAGGAGGGGAGGGACAGTTGTGGAGGGGAAGGGGACAGGTGAGGAGGGGAGGGGACAGGTGAGGAGGGGGAGGGGACAGGTGATTTTTTTTGCCATCTTCTGGAAAAAAAATAAACCTTTGTCGCAGTTGCCTTGGGGCTGATTGACAAAGACGTGGCTGCCCTTCTGCCCCGACACTACTCCCCACAGACTCCCAACAGAAACAGTGGGAGTGTGTTGCTCATGAGCACCACCGCCGCAGAGCAGTGGGAGTGTGTTGCTCGTGGGCACCACCGCAGCAGGAGCAGTGGGAGTGTGTTGCTCGTGGGCACCACCGCCGCAGGAGCAGTGGGAGTGTGTTGCTCGTGGGCACCACCGCAGCAGGAGCAGTGGGAGTGTGTTGCTCGTGGGCACCACCGCCGCAGGAGCAGTGGGAGGTTCTGACCTGACGGTGACGATCTGTCCTCCGTCCAGGGTGATGTCGTTCATCTGGGCGATGAAGATGGCCGCCACCGCCTCGTACAGCGCCGTGCCGTCCATGTTGATGGTGGCGCCGATCGGAAGCACGAAGCGCGTCACCCGTTTGTCGATCTTCAGGTCCTCCTCCAGACACCGGAACGTCACCGGCAACGTCCCGGCGCTGAAAATAACAACAAAAAAACAAGAAACGTCACCGGCAACATCCTGGCGCTGAAAAAAACAACAAAAAAACAAGAAACGTCACCGGCAACGTCCCGGCGCTGAAAAAAACAACAACAAACATGTAATGTTCGGCACTGAAAAACAACAAAAAAAAAACAACAACACATCACCGTAACATCCCTGCACTGTAAAAAAAACAAACATGTAACATCCACACTGTAAAAAAAATAAAAACATGTAACGCCCTGCACTGTAAAAAAAAAAAAAAAAAAAAAAAGGAACACCCACACTGTAAAAAAAAAACATGTAACGCCCTGAACTGTAAAAAGAAAAAAAATGTAACACCCTGAACTGTAAAAAAACAAAACAAAACATGTAACATCCATACTGTAAAAAAAAAACGTCCCGCACTGAAAAAAAAAAAACTTAACATCCGCATTGTAAAAAAATAAAAATGTAACGCCCTGCACTGTAAAAAAAAGAAGAAAAAAGTTACATCTGCACTGTAAAAAAAAAAAAAAGTTACATCTGCACTGTAAAAAAATAATAAAATCATGTAACGCCCTGAACTGTAAAAAAACCCCCAAAACAAAACAAAACATGTAACATCCACACTGTAAAAAAAAACTAAAAACATGTAAGGTCCCGCACTGAAAAAATACCCCAAACACGTAACATCCGCACTGACACACATGTAACACCCCTGCACTGTAAAAAAGAGACACATAATGCACACCCCCCACTATAAAAAAAAGAGACATGTACCGTCCCCGCACTGTAAAAAAAAAAAAAAAAAAGAGAGAGACATGTAATATCCCTGCACCAGACCCAGAACATTGTCAACATTCCTACACTGTAGAAAAAAAAAAAAAAAACAGTAAGGCACACGCAGGCCCCTATAGAAGCCTACATAACCAAAAAAGCTCTCCTGTTCAAGCTCCTTCACTGCCAACTTCAGCTGACCAAAGTGCTTCAGATAAAGTCAACAAAAACAGAAGAAACAGTCACATATACATATTTACAGAAAACATGTGACAACTACATTAAAACATTAAGATAACCGGACTGACTTGTACTAAAAACCAAAAAGAAGAGGTGAGTTTTCAGTCTGGCTGGACCTGAACTGAAGCAGCCGCTGTAAAACAAACTTTTTTCCAGTTGACCGAAATGAATTATTGTTTTGTTAAGTGTTACAGTTAATTCCCCGTACAAGTGTAATTCCCCGTTTAATGTTCTTGGGATCAGCGTGGAGTAAAACGAGCCGTGTCTGTCGAGCTGTTGTTGTTGTTGGGTTTTTTTTTTTTCTGTGAAAGCCTGAGCGAGCGGAGCTGCTCCTCGGAGACTCTCAGAGGAAGTGTTGACATGATTCTGTGTGTTTCTTTATAATCCTTCAGATCGAGCCAAACGGACAGTTGTGCTGGAGCGGAGCCGAGGCCCGAGTCCGGATGCACTGATCCAGACTTAAGACCCTGTAACTCTGAAGGATTCTGCGTGTCACTTCGGGTTTATGGACCTGAGCGCAAACAGACGTAATGGTTTTTAAAATCTGAGCGGCTCGTTTAGTCACTGATCTCCACACGACTGAAACTGCTGACGTTTTTGACTTTTGTCTTCACTGTTGTTATGATCTGTGACATTTTAAAACTCTCGAACTCGTGTTTTAATGTTGTTTCCTCCTCAAAGACAGAGCTGGAGTTGTGTTTTGTTTTGTTTGGTCTAAACCAGGACTTAACCAGGTCTAAATCAGGTCTAAACTAGGACTAAACCAGGACTGGACCAGGACTGGACCAGGACGGAACCAGGACTTAACCAGGCCTAAATCAGGTCTAAACCAGGACTAAACCAGGACTACACCAGGTCTAAACCAGGTCTAAACCAAGCCTAAACCATGACTTAACCAGGACTGAACCAGGTCTAAATCAGGTCTAAACTAGGACTAAACCAAGTCTAAACCAGGTCTAAATCAGGTCTAAACCAGGACTAAACCAGGTCTAAACCAGGTCTAAACCAGGACTTAACCAGGACTGAACCAGGACTGAACCAGGTCTAAACCAGGACTAAACCAGGACTCGACCAGGACTGAACCAGGACTTAACCAGGCCTAAATCAGGTCTAAACCAGGACTAAACCAGGACTAAACCAGGACTACACCAGGTCTAAACCAGGTCTAAACCAGGTCTAAACCAGGTCTAAACCAGGACTTAACGAGGACTGAACCAGGACTGAACCAGGTCTAAATCAGGACTACACCTGGACTAAACCAGGTCTAAACTAGGTCTAAACTAGGAGTTAACCAGGTCTAAATCAGGACTAAACCCGGACTTAACCAGGTTTAAACCAGGTCTAAACCAGGACTAAACCAGGACTGGACCAAGACTGAACCAGGACTTAACCAGGCCTAAATCAGGTCTAAACCAGGACTGAACCAGGACTAAACCAGGTCTAAACCAGGACTGCAGCACTCTGGTATAGATCACTACACATCACACTTTTTTTTTTTTTTTTAACCTTTGGACCAAAATGATAAAAAAAAAGGAAACTCCTAAAACCCGGTTAAAACTCTAACAAGTCCATTTGGCAGAACGCGCCTGAGTGTGGGCAGCAAAGAAGGAGGAAACATATTTGACTTCAACACTTCTGAATGTTTGCCCTGGTTTCTGTTGAGTGTTGCTCTTCGGTGACCCGGTGTGTGTCCTCACAGTTGTCTTGAGCTCGTAAACACGGCGCTGCGTCTCTGTCCCTCCGAGAGCTCTGAAACATTCTCCGAAACATTCTGGAACAGCTGCACATCATAAAGACACATGTGCTGCGCAAGTGTTCACACCTGCTCCGCTCGACGCAGGACCGCGTTTTCGCAATCAGAAACTGGGACACTCTCGGTTTGTCGTGGTTGGTAAAAATAAAATTGTGAAACGAGAGCGCGACTAAGGAAAACTTTACTGCACTCGGCCCATTTGTGACGAACATGAGTTAGTCCTGTCCTCTACCCGTTTCAGGTCCTCACTCTGTCCTGTACCCGTTTCAGGTCCTCACTCTGTCCTCTGCCCGTTTCAGGTCCTCACTGCCCGTTTCAGGTCCTCTCTGCCCGTTTCAGGTCCTCACTCTGTCCTCTGCCCGTTTCAGGTCCTCACTCTGTCCTCTGCCCGTTTCAGGTCCTCATTCTGTCCTCTGCCCGTTTCAGGTCCTCACTCTGTCCTGTACCCGTTTCAGGTCCTCACTCTGTCCTCTGCCCGTTTCAGGTCCTCACTCTGTCCTCTGCCCGTTTCAGGTCCTCACTCTGTCCTCTGCCCGTTTCAGGTCCTCACTCTGTCCTGTGCCTGTTTCAGGTCCGTCTCACTCTGTCCTCTGCCCGTTTCAGGTCCTCACTCTGTCCTGTGCCCGTCCCAGGTCCTCACTCTGTCCTGTGCCCGTTTCAGGTCCTCACTCTGTCCTCTGCCCGTTTCAGGTTCTCACTCTGTCCTGTGCCCGTTTCAGGTCCTCACTCTGTCCTCTGCCCGTTTCAGGTCCTCACTCTGTCCTCTGCCCGTTTCAGGTCCTCACTCTGTCCTGTGCCCATTTCAGGTCCTCACTCTGTCCTGTGCCCGTTTCAGGTCCTCACTCTGTCCTGTACCCGTTTCAGGTCCTCACTCTACCCTGTGCCCGTTTCAGGTCCTCACTCTGTCCTGTGCCCGTTTCAGGTCCTCACTCTGTCCTCTGTTTCAGGTCCTCACTCTGTCCTGTGCCTGTTTCAGGTCCTCACTCTGTTCTGTGCCCAAATATAGCTTAGATTTTTGCAATTTATATGAATTTTAAGATTAATGTACTTAAAAAATCACAGTATATTTTTTATAAGAGTATTTATAGAGTAAATGAGAGTTGTAGAAATTAATTTAGTTATATTTTCTTTTTTAAATCGACATGACATTGACAAGATCTTAGAGTGAATCGTTACGGTCAGAATAAAAAGAATTCAGATTTAAAAGTGTTTCTCAAGTCACAGGCCTCAAATTCGAGTCAAGTCCCAAGTCTTAGTCCATTTTATCAAGTCATAGTGACTCAAGTCCAAGTCACGACTTGCAAGCCCTGACCTCTGGTTATTAGTTTTGTAGTCCCTCATCTTTATTGTGGACGCTTCAGGTTCAAGACCCCAGTTTACCATTTTTTATTTTGTTCTTTCTTCTATTTTGTGTGTAAACAAAATAATTTATTAAAACTCAGTGTTTTTATTAGTAAACATGATTTTTGTGTTTGTAAAAAAAAAAAAAAAAAAAAAAAAAAAAAAAAGCAACTTAGAATGCGACAACATTTCTGAGCCTCCAAAAAAAAAAAAAAAAAATCCACTGTCCTGAATTTAAGCCGCTCTCATCTGGTCGACTCTGATCGCCCGTTTAAGCTCATTTAGAATTACAAAATAAACCTATTTTATACGTAATTTTACCTCTTAGCTGAACTAAATCTGCACTATTTTATTTTAGATTTTTTTTTTTTTTTATTCACATACAAAGTGACACAAAATGTAAATCAAGACGTGTGCGTAAAATTTATATTACGCAGAATCAAGTAAAACATTTGGCCCTTCACAATATTTTCCGTTTCTCGTGTGGCCCCACGGAAAAAATAATGAATCGTCCCTAATCTAGTAAACCTGCATTTGACCCGTCCTTCAGAGTCTCTGGTTGAACGTGTCAGGAGCAGTGGGACCATCTCCAGATCTCGGTCTTGTCTTAATCCGGGCCACCTCAGCCGGAGCGTTTGACCCGTTGTGCGTTGCGTTCTGGGTTGTGCGTGTTTTGGGCGGTGGTACCTGCTGGCCGTGCCCAGAGCCGTGATCCAGGCCTGGAAGATGCCCGAGTAGAAGGTGAGGGGGCTCTTCCGGGTGATGGCGAAGAAGATGGCGGGCAGGATGAGCCCCCCGTGGATCATCAGCCCCACCATCACCGTCACCATGTACATGCCCAGCTGACGCGCCACCACCTCCAGGTCCCCGATGGAGGCGATCTTCCCCGCGATCAGAGACGCGATGCCCACGGGGGAGTACCTGAAACGGGCACAGGACAGAGTGAGGACCAGGACTAAACCAGGACTAAACCAGACTAAACCAGGAATAAACCAGGACTAAACCAGGAACTAAACCAGGACTAAACCAGGAACAAACCAGGACTAAACTTGGACTAAACCAGGACTAAACCAGGAAAAAAATCAGGACTAAACCAGGAATAAATCAGAACTAAACTTGGACTAAACCAGGAAAAAAATCAGGACTAAACCAGGAATAAATCAGGACTAAACCAGGACTAAACCAGGAACAAACCAGGACTAAACCAGGACTAAACCAGGAAAAAAATCAGGACTAAACCAGGTATAAATCAGGACTAAACTTGGACTAAACCAGGAGTAAACCAGGACTAAACCAGGAACAAACCAGGACTAAACTTGGACTAAACCAGGACTAAACCAGGACTAAACTGGAAAAAAATCAGGACTAAACTTGGACTAAACCAGGACTAAACCAAGACTAAACCAGGACTAAACCAGGAAAAAAATCAGGACTAAACCAGGACTAAACCAAGACTAAACCAGGAACAAACCAGGACTAAACCAGGACTAAACCAGGAAGAAACCAGGACTAAACCAGGAATAAATCAGGACTAAAGCAGGACTAAAACAGGACTAAACCAGGTCTAAACCAGGACTAAACCAAGACTAAACCAGGAAAAAAATCAGATCTTAATCAAGACTAAAACAGGACTAAACCAGGTCTAAACCAGGAAGAAACCAGGACTAAACCAGGAATAAATCAGGACTAAAGCAGGACTAAACCAGGACTAAACCAGGCTAAACCAGAACTAAATCAGGACTAAACCAGGACTAAACCAGGTCTAAACCAGCAATAAATTAGGACTATACCAGGAATAAACAAGGGCTAAAACGGAACTAGACCAGAAATAATGAAAAAATAATTATAAAAATAAAAAAAAAGTAAAATCTTATTTAATAATAATAAATAAGTCTGAACTACCCCAAAGGGACATGAAGCACGTGGACCGTTCTGTAGTGTGTGATTTGGTTTTTTATTTTTTTACAGTGATTTGTCCCAGTTTTATACAAAAAATGTCCCAGGTGTCCCTATTTTTGACCAATTTGATCCCTGCCAACAGTAAAGAGACACATAAACTGTCAGTAGTTTTGGTAAAATACAGAAAAGCTGCTTAAAAACGACCAAAACACACACAAAATATGACTATACTGACTCACATGTTGGTCATGAATGGGCCGAGTGCAGAACAATTTTACTTAATTACGCACAATTTCACAATTTTACTACTACCAACCACCAAAAAACAAAAACAAAAACAAAACAAAAAACGGGGGTGTCCCAATTTTTTATTCTGAAATTCTGCTCACCCTGGTTGTAGAGAGTGTGTTAGCACGTAGCCTTTAGCCTGTGTTAGTCCAGGAGAGTCAAACTCATTTTGTTCCGGGCGTCGTGTCCAACCGACTTTAATCCCAAAGTGTCCGGATCAGAAAACTCATGTCATATAAACCCCAAAAATAACAATAAGTTCAAATATTTGTGCAGAGAAACACAAATCTATTACAGAAATCTTTTTGAATTGATGAACTCTTTCTTTTACAAAATATTATATTATGAACAACCTGAAACTTTAAGAAAAATGTAATTTCAACACAAAGTTTTAACATGAACTTCTTTGTAAATAGGAATAAGTCAATTTTTGTTGTAAAATCCTGCACTCGGCTCCACTTTTCTCATGTTGGACATTTTTCTGATGAGGGTGTCACGGTCAACAGTCAAAACGATCGTCCTTTAAGAGCGTTTGGAAAGAGACAAGTCTTCATTTGTGCTGCTCTGGTGGGAGGGGCCACGTACAGAGACGCTGGAGACGCTGCTGTGATAAACACCACAGAAAATTAACAACATTTTAATAGAAAATATTATTAAATAAAATCAGCCGAGGGCCAGATTAAAGGTCTTGGAGGGCCGGATCTGGCCCCCGGGCCTTATGTTTGACACCTGTGTGTTAGCCTGTGTTAGCCTGTGTTAGCCCACATTAGCCCGCATTAGCCCGTGTTAGCCTGTGTTAGCCCACATTAGCCTGCATTAGCCCGTGTTAGCCTGTGTTAGCCCACATTAGCCTGCATTAGTCTGTGTTAGCCCGTGTTAGCCTGTGTTATTCTGTGTTATTTTGTGTTAGCCCATTTTAACTTGTGTTAGACTGTTGTGTTAGCCTGCATTCGCCCGCGTTAACCCGCGTTAGCTCGCATTAGCCCGCGTTAGCCTGTGTTAGCCCGCATTAGCCTGCATTAGCCCATGTTAGCCTGTGTTATTCTGTGTTAGTTTGTGTTAGCCCATTTTAACTTGTGTTAGACTGTTGTGTTAGCTCGCATTAGCCCGCGTTAACCCGCGTTAGCTCGCATTAGCCCGCGTTAACCTGCGTTAGCCTGTGTTAGCTCGCATTAGCCCGCGTTAGCCCGTGTTATCTTTGTTTACATGAGCTCAGCGTTGCGTCGTCTGTTGACAGTGAAGACGCTGCGGCTCTGTGCTTCAGTCCAGCTGTTCTGTTCTGTCTGTTTTCTCTCTGGACACGAGATTAAACACAAACATGTGACTTTCAAGGTTTTACTTCTGAGGAAACGGGAGCTTAAAGGTCCGAGATCCCACAGACCCGACTCCTGTGAGCTTCGAGTCAGGTTCTGAAGTTTGATACCTCCTCAAAACATGTTTCTACTGCAGACGCATCTACACAGAGAATTATGGTGTTTAGTGGCTCTTTAAAAACACCGTGGAACATTTCCTGAGTGTTTTTAGTTTGAGGGAAGAACTCGTGCTAAATGTGAAGGTTTGTGTGTTAAACATGTGTATATGAAAAAAAACAACTCCAGGTCTGTTTGTGATGAGGAAACGACAGTAAAACAGATCAGAAAATGGCCTTTTAATCAGGAGTCGTGAGGTTGAACTTTATTCTTGCCCATTAGTGAAAATCAAAAACAAAACCATAATTCTCTGTGTTTTGAGTTCAGAGGATTTTTCTTTTTCTGCTCTTATGTGGACCTCACTAGTGTTGTAGTCAAGACCAGTCCAAGACCACAGGGTCTAGAGACCAGGACAAGACCGAGACCACGGCCCACCAAGACCAAATCAAGACCATCTTTGTACTTTTTGGATATTTTTTGTATTTTGCAGTTATTTTGGCACAAATAAATCAACGTTTTTATGAATCTATCTCCATTTTATCACTTGTCGAGTGTCAGACCTCAAGACCGAGACAAGACCAAGTCCAAGGGCTTTCAAGACCGAGACAAGACCGAGTCCAAGGGCTTTCAAGACCGAGACAAGACCGAGTCCAAGGGCTTTCAAGACCGAGACAAGACCGAGTCCAAGGGCTTTCAAGACCGAGACAAGACCGAGTCCAAGGCTTTCAAGACCGAGACAAGACCGAGTCCAAGGGCTTCAAGACCGAGACAAGACCGAGTCCAAACGCCTTCAAGACCGAGACAAGACCGAGTCCAAACGCCTTCAAGACCAAGACAAGACCGAGTCCAAACGCCTTCAAGACTTCAAGACCGAGACAAGACCGAGTCCAAACGCCTTCAAGACCGAGACAAGACCGAGTCCAAACTCCTTCAAGACCGAGACAAGACCGAGTCCAAACGCCTTCAAGACGGAGACAATGCATCAGATGTCTCCCCACATGATCATGGACACCACGGTTACCGCGGTAACAGTCACGTTTACGTCAGATGTCTTACCACATGATCATGGACACCACGGTTACCGCGGTAACAGTCACGTTTACGTCAGATGTCTTACCACATGATCATGGACACCATGGTCATGATGATCTCGTTGAGGATGTTGAAGAAGTCGCACATGACGCGTCCACGTTCTCCCATCCGACTCATGCAGATCCCGAAGGTGATGAAGAACCCGATCAGACCTAAAGACAAACAGGAGGAGGTAAAGACCAGGACTAGACCAGGACTAGACCAGGACTAGACCAGGACTTGACCCGGGGTTTAAACCTACCCAGGACGTTCATGCCCCACTTGTTCTCCAGTTTCTTCTTCCCGACCAGCAGAGGCTCCGTCTGGTTTGACACAGACACAGGGACGATCTTCAACACCGTCTGCACCTGAAGAACACCACAACAAACAAACAAACATGTTTAGGATTTAGACCCAGAGTTTCCCCAACGCACACAACTCCCCACCTCGATCATCTAACGCCAACAAAACTCGATCATCTAACACCAACAAAACTCGATCATCTAACGCCAACAAAACTCGATCATCTAACGCCAACAAAACTCGATCATCTAACGCCACAAACTCGATCATCTACCACAAAACTCGATCATCTAACGCCAGCAAAACTCGATCATCTAACTAACGCCAGCAAAACTCGATCATCTAACACCAGCAAAACTCGATCATCTAACGCCAGCAAAACTCGATCATCTAACACGCCAGCAAAACTCGATCATCTAACGCCAGCAAAACTCGATCATCTAACGCCAACAAAACTCGATCATCTAACGCCAGCAAAACTCGATCATCTAACGCCAGCAAAACTCGATCATCTAACGCCAGCAAAACTCGATCATCTAACGCCAGCAAAACTCGATCATCTAACGCCAGCAAAACTCGATCATCTAACGCCAGCAAAACTCGATCATCTAACGCCAGCAAAACTCGATCATCTAACGCCAGCAAAACTCGATCATCTAACGCCAGCAAAACTCATCTAACGCCACAAACTATCTCTAACGCCAGCAAAACTCGAATCTAACACCAGCAAAACTCGATCATCTAAGCCAGCAAAACTCGATCATCTAACACCAGCAAAACTCGATCATCTAACACCAACAAAACTCGATCATCTAACGCCAGCAAAACTCGATCATCTAACGCCAGCAAAACTCGATCATCTAACGCCAACAAAACTCGATCATCTAACGCCAACAAAACTCGATCATCTAACGCCAACAAAACTCGATCATCTAACACCAGCAAAACTCGATCATCTAACACCAGCAAAACTCGATCATCTAACGCCAGCAAAACTCGATCATCTAATCACCAGCCAACAAAACTCGATCATCTAACGCCAGCAAAACTCGATCAAAATCATCAAAACTCGCATCTAAAAACAAAAAACTCGATCATCTAACTCGCCAACAAAACTCGATCATCTAACTCGATCCTAAGCAAAACTCAGATCGATTCTAACGCCAGCAAAACTCGATCTTCTAACGCCAGCAAAACTCGATCATCTAACGCCAGCAAAACTCGATCTTTCTAACGCCAGCAAAACTCGATCATCTAACACCAGCAAAACTCGATCTTCTAACGCCAGCAAAACTCGATCATCTAACGCCAACAAAACTCGATCTTCTAACGCCAGCAAAAACTCGATCATAAACCAGCAAACTCGATCATCTAACGCCAGCAAAACTCGATCATCTAAACAAAAACTCGATAAATCATCTAACACCAGCAAACTCGATCATCTAACGCCACAAAACTCATCATCTAACGCCACAAACGATCTTCTAACGCCAGCAAAACTCGATCATCTAACGCCAGCATCTCCACCAGCAAAACTCGATCATCTGATCATCTAAGCCAGCAAAACTCGATCTTCTAACGCCAGCAAAACTCGATCATCTAATAATCATCTAACGCCAGCAAAAACTAAACCAGCAAAACTCGATCATCTAACAGCAAAAAACTCGCCAGCAAAACTCGATCATCTAACACCAGCAAAACTCGATCATCTAACACCAGCAAAACTCGATCATCTAACACCAGCAAAACTCGATCATCTAACGCCAACAAAACTCGATCATCTAACGCCAACAAAACTCGATCATCTAACACCAGCAAGTGTCATGACCGATCCTGGTCCCACGATGGAAAAAAAACTTTTTCTTTAGAGAATCTCCTGTGATTTTCCACATTAAACAGTAGAACTTTCTTTTCTATTCCCATGTGTCCTTATATCTGTGTAAAACCAGATCTAAACCAGGTCTAAACCAGGTCTAACCAGGTCTAAACCAGATCTAAACCAGGTCTAAACTCTAAACCAGATCTAAACCAGGTCCAGGTTCTAAACAAGGTATAAACCAGGTCTAAACCAGATCTAAACCAGATCTAAACCAGATTAAAAGGTCTAAACCAGGTTAACCAGGTCTAAACCAGGTCTAAACCAGGTCTTTAAACCAGATCTAAACCAGGTCTAAACCATCTAAACCAGTTAAACCTAAACCATCTAAACAAGTCTAAACCAGGTCTAAACAGATCTAAACCAGGTCTAAACCGGTCTAAACCAGAGGTCTAAACCAGGTCTAAACCATCTAGAAACCAGGTCTAAACCAGGTCTAAACCAGGTCTAAACCAGATCTAAACCATATCTAAACCAGTCTGTCTAAACCAGGTCTAAACCAGATCTAAAACCAGGATCTAAACCAGGTCTAAACCAGGTCTAAACCAGGTCTAAACCCTAAACCAGGTCTAAAAAGGTCTAAACAGGTCTCTAAACCAGATCTAAACCAGATTAACAAATCTAAACCAGATCTAAACCAGATCTAAACCAGGTCTCACCAGGTCTAAACAGATCTAAACAAGGTCTAAATGTCTAAACAGGTCTAAACCAGATCTAAACCAGGTCTAAACCAGGTCTAAACCAGGGTCTAAAACCAGATCTAAAACCAGGTCTAAACCAGGTCTAAACCAGTCTAAACCAGTTAAACCAGTCTAAACCAGGATCTAAACCAGGTCTAAACCAGGTCTAAACCAGAGGTCTAAACCAGGTCTAAACAAGGTCTAAACAGGGTCTAAACCAGGTCTAAACCACTAAACCGTCTAACCAGGTCTAAACAGGTCTAAACCAGGTCTAACAAGGTCTAAACCCAGTCTAAACCCTAAACAGGTCTAAACCAGGTCCGTGTGTGTATTCTCGACTCTGTGTCTTACACTTGTTCTGGTCCAGTTCCAGATTCTTCTAAACACATTCAGGTTCTGCTTTGTCCTGAACATGGAACTTTTATTTTAGTATCAACACTTGTGATAAATGAGTTTAGTGTTTGTGTTTTCGATCCTTTTGACAGTCGACAGTGAAAGTCCAGCGGGGTCTTTGTGTCTTTGTGTCTTTGTGTCTTTGTGTGGTTGTGTGGAGCAGATTAGAGCAGCAGAAGGAGCCTCCACAGACTGTTTCTTTAATCGTTCAAACACACACACGGATTTAGACACAACATGATTGAGACGTGGATTAGTCCAAATGACCAGCTGGAAAAACACAGGCTCCAGTGAACACAGACCCCCACAGAAACATGACACAACAGAGACGAGGAGGAAGAGGAGGAGGGAGGAGGAGGAGGAGGACGAGGAGGACGAGGAGGAGGAGGAGGAGGAGGAGAGAGAGGAGGAGAGGAGAGAGGAGGACGAGGAGGAGGACGAGGAGGAGGAGGAGGAGGAGGAGGAGGAGGACGAGGAGGAGGAGGAGGAGGAGGAGGGAGGAGGAGGACGAGGAGGACGAGGAGGACGAGAGGACGAGGAGGAGACGAGGAGGAGAGGAGGAGGAAGAGGAGAGGGAGGAGGAGGAGGAGGAGGAGGAGGAGGAGGAGGAGGAGGAGGAGGAGGAAGGAGGAGGAGGAGGAGGAGGAGGAGGAGGAGGAGGATGAGACGAGGAGGAGGACGAGGAGGACGAGAGGAGGACGAGAGAGGACGAGGAGGAGGACGACGAGAGAGGAGAGGAGGAGGACGAGGAGGAGAGGAGGAGGAGAGAGGAGGAGGAGAGGAGGAGGAGGGAGGAGGAGGAGGACGAGGAGGAGGAGGAGGAGGAGGAGGAGGAGGAGAGGAGGACGAGGAGAGGAGAGGACGAGGAGGAGGAGGAGGAGGAGGAGGGAGGAGGAGGGAGGAGGAGGAGGACGAGGGAGGACGAGGAGAGGAGGAGAGAGGAGGAGGAGGAGAGAGGAGGAGGAGAGGGAGGGAGGAAGGAGGAGGAGGACGAGGAGGAGGAGGAGGAGGAGGAGGAGAGAGGAGGGAGGAGGAGAGGACGAGGAGAGGAGGAGGAGGAGGAGAGAGGAAGAGGAGGAGAGGAGGAGAGGAGGAGGAGGAGAGGAGGAGGAGGAGGACGAGGAGGAGGAGGAGGAGGAGAGGAGGAGGAGGAGGAGAGAGGAGGAGGAAGGAAGGAACGAGGAGGAGGACGAGGAGGAGGAGGAGGAGGAGGGAGGAGGAGGAGAGAGGAGGAGGAGAGGAGGAGGAGGAGGAGGAGGACGAGGAGGACGAGGAGAGAGAGGAGGAGGAGGGAGAAGGAGGGAGGAGGAGGAGGAGGAGGAGGAGGAGGAGGAGGAGGAGGAGAGGAGGAGGAGGAGGAGACGAGGAGGAGGAGGAGGAGGAGGAGAGGGAGGACGAGGAGGAAGAGAGGAGGAGGAGGAGGAGGAGAGGAGGAGGACGAGGAGGGAGAGAGGAGGAGAGGAGAGGAGGAGGAGGAGGAGAGAGGACGAGGAGGAGGAGGAGAGAGGAGGAAGGACGA